GGTTGAGACCTTAGTTCAGAGGTCTCCAAACTTGGCAATTTTAAGACTTGTGGACTTTAACTCCCAGAATTCTGGGAATTGAAGTCCACAAGTCTTAAAGTTGCCAAGTTTGGAGACGACCCCTGCCTTAGTTCCTAGCAGATCTAGCAAAGTCAACAGATGATGGAAGAGATGATGTTGGGGTAACCACATGTTTTATGTCCCATCTATAAAGCAGCTGACTTAAGAAATGGCAGAAAATGCTGTTCTACTCCATGTTGAAGCAAAATTCAACTGCCTTGTTGGAAGGAAGATGGGTGCACAACCTTATCCCTCTTGGGCAACACTGAAAGAGAACTCACACATTGTACTCTTGGCCAACATGATAGCCTCCAAGCGTTTGGCCTACTATCAGTAGACCAAAGGTTCATGATTATACATTATTGAACACATTTATCATTAGGTCAGTGTGGAGATATTTTTCTTTAAAATCCCTTTCAAGCTGCTTTTAACTGCTTAGCCTTCTAGTGAAAGCAGCAGATCCATCAATGGGAAACCACTGTATCTGAACAAGGATGGGTCTACTCTAACCAGAAGCCCCCAAGATTAAAGAAAGTTATTCAAAAGAGTCTTGGAGTTGGCTTGAAGGCTTGTAAAAACAGAGGTGACTTTCCTCCCAAAACTTATTCTGGGAATATGAAGCCACTCCCCCAAAGGTCTCAACTCTTACACTCCCTGGTGTCTTTTAAGTCTTTTTCAACTCAATGGAGCTAACCAATGAGCTGGCCAAAAGGGAAAAAAAAATTGCTAACAATTGTCATAATTGCAAAATGTCTTTCTTCGCACTGTACCCGTCTGGCTGGTCTGAACTGTGTTGATTCTTGCTTTGCTTTGCCAGTTTTAGATCTTAAAGGATGATGAACTGGGACAAGCCCGCAAACAGCCTTTTAAAATAGAGCAAGAATCAGTGGGTCACATTTCCCTTAAAATAGTTTTTTAAAATACCACTATCATATTGCAATTAAGGCTTTCTCAATAGAACTTCAAACAGCTTCTGTATCAGAAAAGTAGGCAAGCAAGAAACATGCCACTATATTTTCTTTCTTTCTTTCTTTCTTTTTCTTTCTTTCTTTCTTCCTTCCTTTCTCTTTCTTTCCTTCCTTCCTTCTCTCCATCCCTCCCTCCTTCTCTGTTTTTGATTCCTGGAGACAGTCTTGACAAATGCCTGCAATTTCAGATTTAACAGATAATCAGAGTTGGAAGGGACCTTTTAAGTCATCTAGTCCAACCCTCCACCCAAGCGAGAGACCCTTCACCATTTCTGACAACATGGCAGTCCAATCTCTTCTTGAAAGTCTCAAGGGATGGCGCTCCCACAACTTCCAAGGGCAAACTGTTCCATTGGTTGATTGTTCTCACTGTCAGAAAGTTTCTCCTTATTTCCAGGTTAAATCTCTCCTTGTTCAGTTTCCATCCATTATTCCTTGTCTGGCCTACATGTGCTTTAGAAAATAGCTTGACCCTTTACTCCCTGTGGCAGCCCCTCAAATATTGGAAGACCTCTACCATGTCTCCCCTGGTCCTTCTCTTCACAACACTAGCCAGTTCCTACTACCGTTCATTGTATGTTTTAGCCTCTAGTCCCCTAATCATCCTGGTTGCTCTTCTCTGTACTTTTTCTAGAGTCTCAACATCTTTTTTATAATGTGGTGAACAAAACTGGATGCAGTACTCTAGGTGTGGTCTTACTAAGGCTTTATAGAGTGGTATTAGTACTTGATCTTGATTGTATCCCTCTGTTAACACAATTTCATTGGCAAAGTTTTTTTTTCAGAAATGGTTTGCCATTACCTCCTTCTTAGGGCTGAGAGACAGTGGCTGGCCCAAGCCACCCAGTTGGTTTTGTGCCTAAAGTGGCACTACAACTCACATTTCCCATTTTTGTCTTGTTGTATTCTATATTCTCATGATATTCTAATTTGGTCTGTACCTGCTTAGTTTTGACCTTGGGTCTCAAAAAAACCACCAAACCCAACATCGCCTATCATATAAGTATCTCAGGGAGTCTGTCCTGAGTTTTAAAATGATATTTTGTGAACTGTACCATTCATTTCCGTCACATCCGATGTGGTGGACAGTTTTGGTCCGACTAATCCACAAAATAGTTCATCCCAGTTAAGGAAGTTCAAACAACAACTGGTTGAACCTTTTCCTACAATAGTTACCCAAAACAATGCAGACATTTGCCTTGTCCTTCCAGAATTATGGATTGGGAAAATCCACTCTTAAATGTAGAATTTACTCTACTCCTCCTTCACTAGAAAGGAGCGTTCTACCTCTCGGTGAACAGAATTGATTAAAAAATAATTTTGCACTGCTCTTATAATTGAGCATCATTAAAATGTGCGCAAGGCACTTGGAGCAAGATCGGCTTGAAAGAAGTGCCACCATAACAGAGTTCACCAGCTTCCCTCCCCATTATTATTGTGGTTTGAATGGCCTTCTTTAAATGGGCACAACATGCACTATGATCTCTGTCACTGTTTCATGCGTCTTGTTTAAAGAGGTTGGTGCATTTACGATGACGGAGAGTTTGGCTCCTCCTTTATCTTCAAAGGGTCTGAGAGGCTGTTTTTGAAATCTAGAAATGAATAACTTTAATCATGTGATGAGTTGCACAAATGAGAGGCTGTTGCGGGTTGAACATACCCTGAAGCGGACAGCATGGAACCTGGAAGAAAACTAACATTACATCACCAGGCATCCAAGCAGAACCACAAAAAGGCCCATTTTACCCTGTTCATTAGATAGAGATTAACATCTGAAGCTTTAAATCAAGAGCAAGAAATATCTACATCCACAAACATTTCCGTATTTACGCCTTAAATTCTTTTAATGAAAGAATGTAGAAATGAGAAGCAGCCAAGCTGCAAAGAAAATAGGCCTTTAGGATCAGCCATGGACAACCACAGATAAGGCTCTGAAGATACAAATTGTGGTTGTCTAACCCCTTGTGCTGTTTCAAAGGGTCCCATTTTGTGTGGGGGAGGGAAGCAAAAAGTTAAATTTGGAGGGTAGAAAACATCCCAGAGAGTTTCACTCAGTAAAGTCATTGATGTCGTTTCAAGTCTGTTATTATATCTTATTCCTATTCTATTCCAGTTTTATTCTGTTCTCTTCTGTTTCATTCGATTCGGTTCCATTCCATTCTATTCTAATTTTATATTCTATATTCTATTCTATCTTACATTCTGTTCTACTCTATTCTATTTTATATTCTAGACACATATATAATGTGAGGGATGTATGTTTTTATTTTATTTTTTTATAGTTTTCTTATGTATAATATACCCTGCATTTAATTCCATTGTACAAAGTTCAGTGACAATAAAGTACTACTACTACTACTACTATTCTATTTTCTATTGTATTCTGTTTTCTATTTTCTATTCTATTATTCTATTCTATTCTATTCTATTCTATTCTATTCTATTCTATTCTATTCTATTCTATTCTATTCTTATTCCAGAATAGCGGGTATTCACGTACTCAAAAGAAAATCCCTACATTATGTCGCCAGCTTGCAGTCCTCAACCTGTATCTAAGTATAAGAGCTCCAGCACGGCCTGCCCTTCTGCAGAAGAACATTGAGTTATTTCCACCCGCTGTCCGCATGCACCTTGCCATGGCCATGTCTGCCCAGCAGAGAAAATAAACCTGGATGGAAGTATCAGGACACGGAGTTTGGCACACTGCCTTCTGCAGTCTGCTCAAGGAATCTTGTCGTAGTACTACTAGTAAGTAAACCAACCTTCGAGTTGGGTTGGCTTTGACAATTCAGGAGGGAAAAAAAAAAGTGAGGTGAGGCCACTGATCCCTTTATTTCCTGTCTCACACCAATGGGCAATTAAAAGGAAGAGGTGGAATTGGGAGTAATAATGTAGTGCGGTCGCTTTGGGCAATGGCTGTTTTGTGACAGAAGTTCCATGTGGGAGAAACCCAGGGGCCCAAGTTCAAGAGAAGGTGTTTGCCTTTCTCTTTCCTTTCCTTCCTGTCTCTTTTTCTTTCTTTCTTTCTCTCTCTTTCGCTCTTTCTTTCTTTCTTTCTTTCTTTCTTTCTTTCTTTCTTTCTTTCT